ATGTTTCTGATGAGAGATGCACATCAAGATCAATGGGAAATTTTCCTCAACCAAAGGTATGGCAAGAAATCCTTTGCAAAGGAAAGAAGTCCCATACCATATGACCAACCCGACCAAGTGATTCCATCAAAATAAAAAATTAAAATTGCCATTTGATATAAGATCGACCTTGTTCCATTAGATATAATCAAACCATATGAATCATACAACGCGATTCAACTCGGTTACAGAAACACCAATTAAAAAGAGTTATGAAAATATTTTATTACTGATTCATGAACAAGTACTTGGCTTTAAAAAAATGTGGTTGAGGACATTCTGCAGATAGAGGGAGGTTTGAACCATGAGAAAGGCCTTGTGAAGAGCAACTTTGACACCTCCCGGGGATATCAGTCTTACAGCCAGAAGTGTGGACAAGCTCATTCATAACATATATATATATATATATATATATAAGAAAGATACACACATCACAATAATGCCAAGAAAGCCTGGAGGGAGTAGTAGTATTGCATAAGCACATTTATAGAAAAAAATGAGTTCCTGAAAATCGCATGATTTGAAGAAAAAAAATACAATGGAAAAAGAGTTAACACCCCATTGCAAATAATGAAGGGGATTCCTTTAGCAAAGGCGTCTTAAATTCTCGTTATTTAACTAGAATTCAGCAATAAGAGTTTAGCATTTGACTACCTATAAAGAAAAAGAAAAGAAAAAGGATTTCACGAGAAGGGAGATGAAAGAGAGAGCCCCCAACATCTCCCCAAGACTAAAGCATCTACCAGGGAGTAGAAACATTGAAGATGTCCAAACAGTTGCTCAATAGGGAGTTGAACATCCAGATGTCATACGTCCATGCTAGACCTCAAAGCAATCTTCCACAGCCACCAAATCCTCAGGTTGCTCCAGCTGTTAATTGTAGCAAATACTGTAGATGGTATCAAGCCACATTTGGGATTGTGACTTAAATGTAGCAAATAAAGTTCATTTAAACTGAAAATTTCAGTCCGCGGTTGGACTTGTGCTATCTGCTGGTGCTCTCTTTCCATCATAGCGCTAAAAGTAAAATAGACAAAATGCTTACTATTAGCAACAAGGATGCAATCCTGATAACAACATTAATGAATGAATAACCAATATTTGCTTGCCACGACAATTTTGAATGGGAAGAAATTATACTGAATCTACCTGTTTCCCAAATGAGAATGGAACATATTTATATTTGATCATGTGTGAAATCTGTCTCCTCATTGTAAGCGTGAATAGGACCACCCAGTAGAAGAGGAGTATTGGCCAGAACACAGGAACATCAAACGCACTAAAGAAAGTCATCACAAATGCAATGCAAAACGCCTTTGTGATCGAGTACCTGCCCATGAACAAAAAGTTCAGAAGCTTTCAGTAAAAACAACCATCTGCACGTTAAATCCAAACCGTAAATAACAAAACATTAGCTACCCCCACAAATGACAATTACAACAAAGCACAATACTAATGCTCGTGAATGAAGATTGATCTCCTCGGAAGCGAAACCATAGACTAATAATTAAACACAGAAATGTAATAAAATCAAACACAAGATTGTTATACCCTCCTACTCATCAAGGATAACATGCAAGCCAGTATGGTCATCAGAATGTGGCATTTTCAATATCCATAATTCGCTTGAACGAAAATCTAGACAATTTCGAGTACAGTGACGGACAGATCAAGCATACAAATACTCTAAAACTTGAATTTTAAAAAACAGAACAATATTGAGCATAAATTTGGATAAAATAAATGAAAATTTTCCTCAGCTTTTATTCATAAGGTCAGTCCCCCAGACCCTCATGTAACTTCTCCATAAGTCCAGGTTAAATTGTTGGTGTTTGTGATAAATGCAGTGCAGGAAGTTTAATTAAATTCCCTTTATTTAATTAATCTGTAAATTCTTAGGCAAGCTGATTAGGAGTCTGAAACGATAAGTCGAAATCAAATCTTGGAGTTAGAACCAAAGACGCTAACAAGATAATATTACAACAGAAGTAGGTGGTGGAGTACAAAACCCTAGGAGGAAGGGAGGATTAGTGGAAGGGAATAGTACCAGAACTTGAACTCCGGGAGGCGGCGAACGAAGGGGCGAAACTCATCGGATCCTCTGGTGGGGAGGGTGGGGCCGTCATGAATCTCGGGATCGACCTGAGGGGAGAGGAAGCCGATGAGGAGGTTGAGGATGTAAATACCGAGGGCGTAGGAGACGATGTAAAAGCCTTGAACCAAGTACACGCGGAGGACGTAGACGGCAGCCACCACCAGACACCCGATCCAGCGGCGGAGGACGTGCGGCGTCGTTTTGTCCAGCATGTGCTGGTACTGCCGCGACACCGAAAATTTCCACCGCGATATTGTGGCTTCCGGGGAATGATCGTCGGCGACTCCTACGTCCATGGTGGGTAGGGGTAGTTTTGACTTTTGGATTTGTTTGGCGTAGGAGAAATGTGCAAAGGGTGCGTGCGATGGTGGCAGCAAACAAACCAAAGCAAATGAGATGAGATGGTAGAAACGGCCTAATGGACCCTCTTCCCGGTTCGCTTGTCCTTGCCTCAAGATCTCTCTCCGGTCCACATCTTACTGAACCGGATTAACGGTTTTAACATTACCCAATCCATAGACTCTATTTTATAAAACCATATACACCTTTGACTTTAGCATAATAATACTGTATTTTCCAAAGACTTTAACACGTTTCTTTTTAAGAAATGAGAGGTATTTCTTTTGGCAATGGTTGCTTCGAAAAAATTTAGACTTCCATTATCACGATCATGTTATTCATTCTATACAAATTTCATTTTATATTAAAATGTATTTTATTAACAAAAATTATTTATAGGTAATGGACTTTTCTACCAAAGATATTGCCAAAGAGAATGTGGTCGACCAAAAATTATTAAGATACATCGTAAAAATAATAAAAATTAAATATTTCAATGTTATTAATTAAAATATATTTAAACATGAAAATTGTTATTTGATAGAAATTATTTTTCAAGTGTATTTCACCTTATTTAAATTTATAATCATTATAAATATGAACAATGAAAAATATATACTAAGAAAAATATATCTATTTTGTACCTTTTACGTCTAAATATCCTTTGATCATCACAATATAGAACTTGATTCTAGTTGAATATATGTCGATATATTAGGTCGATGTGTACCCAAATCAAACTGGCAAGACTAACTAGTACACTTTTGGAGTCAATCTCTTAAACCAATTGATGAACACCAATATTATATATATATATATATATATATATATATATATATATATATATATTTTTAGAATAATAGAAAGAAGCTAAATAAAAAGAAGATAAAAACATAATACAATGCAAGCTGAAAATACAAAAAAGTATTTTCATAATGAAAACAAAATAGAAAGGGAGGACTTAAGAACTAAATCTTGTAAACATTTCTTCATAAAACTCTTACAACTCTAATATATGAAATTTATACACTTATAAACACAACCAAAACTCCCCTTCTCAGTTATATGTTCTTATTTATAGATATAATAGAACACACTAGATATTACCTATTTTACAATAATACCCTTTAACCTCTTACATTTTTATCCTAACTTTTAAATATTTTCTTTTTATCAAACTTGTCATGATGAACTTCTTGTCTTCTTCTCTTTTTCTTTTTCAAACTTTATCGTAATGATAAATCTTCTTTTTCCGAGTGCCGTCATATATTCTCTTCTTCTTTGTCTTTCTTTCTTTATCTTGTTTTGAGTGTTGTCACGTCTTCTATTCTTCTTTGTTTCCTTTTATTTTTTTGAATGTTATTACATTTTTTTCTTCTTTCAATCAAACAAATAGAATGTAAAAAACTGGGGGCTTTCTTCTTCTGAATTTGTCTTTGATATTGATGATTTTGCTTTAATTACTTTTTCGAAGTCCTTCATATTCATTGTTGTTGCTAATTATGTTAGTAGTTTCTGTTTTTCAACCAAAAATAATGATTCATAGGTTAATGTTACACTCATTTCTTTCTTCTTTTGTTGATAATTGGTTTGCTATTTATCAATATTTCTTAGTGATGGAGTTAGTATTAAATTTTTTCCATCATTTGAGTTTAAACCTTCTTGATAGATATTTTATATCTACATTTTCATAAGTTGATTCTATAATATACTCTCAAGTTACAATCCAAATCATATTATATATATATATATACATACATATATACATATATATATATATATATATATATATATATATTAAAATCTTTATGAATGTGGTTACAAATATTATGTTTATATTATTTTAATTTTAAGTAATATAAGTGTCAGTAGAATTTTACACATTATATTATCCTGAGTAAGAATTTCTTTACAATTATTTTTAAACAAACTTTATTATAAGGTCATGAATAAGATTATGTACGTAACTTTAGTAATTAAAAGAATACTTGTATTTTATATATTATAAGAAGATAAAAGAATAAGTATGAATGTTCTTTTATATTTGAGTAAATGAAAAGTATCAACATATATGATTGATTGGTTTAACCTTTAAAATTGCAAAGGAAAACAGTATCAAACCCTAATATTAGGTGAACCAATAGTTACACTGTCTCATTCGTTTCATTTACATGTGCTAACTATTTTTTTTTTTTCAAGCACCCAATGAAAATATTTCTAAAAGTTCAAAAGTATTTTTAAAATCATATCCAACATCTGGCTATAGCTATTTTTTCTTTCAGGAACTTACCCATTAAATAAGATAAATTATTTGTTGTCCTATTGAAGAGTACAATATGAGGGACAAATTATTTGTTCGCAAAATATGAAAGTTTAGATATACATTCTATTTTAATATTTTACGTGGAAAGAAATTATTGAAGCGATCGAAAAGAAGAAACAAAAATGGATGAGGTTTGATTTTAATTCATCATTGTAGCTACTCTAATTTATAATTATTTATTATGATAAAATGGTGCCACGGTGGATTGTCAAATAAGCAACGGTCCGCAGCTGTTCATTTCATTTTTACCTTTGATTTCCGATGTGTAATTGCTCATGACCTCAATCAAACTGCATTGATCCAATTCCCAAACTCGCAAATCGTGTGTTTCCCCTTAACAAAGCCTTTGTTCTCTGCAAAACAGATCGAATAGTGTACATCAACATCGACTCACCGTAAGCGATCCACTGCTCCTGCCTTTTCCATTTGTTGAATCTATGATGTGAATGAGTATCTGCAATATTTACAAATTAATATAATTATTGTTTTCTTCAATCGAAAATCTGCTTAATCTGTATTACCGGAGTCTCCATTTTCAGATCCCTCTGTTTACATTCCCGACGCCGCCGACGTTTTTGCCCTGCTTTGGTTCAATTTATGCTCCCATCCAGTTAATTTATCGGACAACCGCTTAGATTATGAGAGTAATTAGCTTGTGTGGAGTAGGTGTTTTTCTTTGGGTATTATCATATTGTAATTTTCCCACCAACATTGTATGACGTGTGTTAATTTATTTATTACTTAGTTAGTTTGCTGTTAGCTGGTTAAAGGTAAATTGCTCTTCACTTAGATTGGTTTTACGCTTTGCAGAACTGCATTTGAGTGACTCATGGAACCAGCTTCTGCTTATTCTTCATCTCAACCTACTCCTCCAGTTTCTAGTGCTGAAGAACAACACTCAACCAAAGTAACAGGACAGATCAACAATGCACATGATTCACCATCAACGTTATCTGCTTCTGGCATGTCATTATGGACAAAACATCTGAAATTTCCAGGCCTTGGCCTTGGACAAGCACAACAGGATTCACAGACCGATAACACAGGCATATCAGCTTTTGCTCGCCTGACTGGTGGGCTTGGATTGCGAACGCAGTCAAAAGAAACTGCTGCTCCAGTCAATTCGGGACCTGATCAATCTAATTTAATTGAATCCTTCGCCAAAGGGTTGATGGACTCTTCCAAGAGTGCAGTAAAAGCTGTCCAGGTCAAAGCACGCCATATCGTCTCTCAGAATAAACGTAGATACCAGGTTAGTTGACAACGAAATTTCGCAACTAGTCTGGTTTTACCTCTATGACGTGCATTACATGGATTACATGTTATTGTGTCCAAATCTGCTGGTTGAGTAACTTGCATTTGTGTTAACACATGTTCAATACATGCACATGCAGGATTTGTTTTTTCAAATTGTGGATATAAATTACATATTTTTCTGTTGATATAGTTTTGCATCAGGATTATTTATCTGCACTGGCAGCAACTTCCGTTCAAAATTTGTTATAAAATAGGCACACCACCTGAATGATACTATTAATGTTGCAGCTGACTTGTTGTTATAACTGACATGCATGAGATGAGACACACCGATTTGGAAGACACATCAATAATGCATCTCAAAACAGAACTGAGTAGAGAAGATCTCATTAGAGGATTCTAACAAATTGCACATGCCTCAGTAGACTCTGTAAGACTAGTCATCTACTCATATGTACTAATGCATATGATCACATAATCATCTAAGACATGTTAGACGGTCTACGAACCTTCTAAACAAGATTTTACTCAGCCAATTCTTCACAAATCCCCACTTGGTTAAACATAAATCTTCTGAGTATGAGTTGTTATTTGCCTATAAGTATTACAAACTTAATTGAGACCTTCATCACCTTTACAGACCCTCGTGCAATGTCCTCTTTTACAAAATGCAGATTCACATCAATATACTTAGTTCTTTCACGGTAGACTTGGTTCTTGGACTGTATAACACTATTACTGTCACAATAGACTGTGACAATTTGATCTTGCACCCTTAGTTCCTTGGCTAGACCTGTCAACCATATGGCTTTCTTCATAGCTTTTGTCATACTCTTCATAGCTTTTGTCATACCCTACTTATGAGGTTGACAAAGCCACTATCTTCTATAGACTAGCCTTCCAACTGATAGCAGTACCATAAGTAGTGAATACATAGCCTGTGAGAGACTTTCTTTCTGGTGTTCAAATACCCAGCACAGTCTAAGTCAACAAACTCTTCTATTGGAGCATCCCCTATAAATAGTCTACTCCACCATAAACCAAGACTCTTCCAAGTGAGAAGAATCCACCTAAGAGCTTTTCAATGAGCTTGTTCAGGGTTTGACTTGAACCTGCTAGCAATGCTCACAACATAGGCTATATCAGGATGAGTGCAAACCATTACGTACATAACAAAACCAACAATTTTAGCACATGGAAGACTATCCATGTATTTTTGTTCCCCACCGTCTTAAGAGACTGTTCATCACTCAACTTATAGTGAGATGCAAGAGGTGCGGACACAGGTTTCAAGTTTGTTATTCTAAACTTATCAAGGATTTTTTCGAGATAGGTCTCCTGAGCCACATATAGATGCTTCAACTCACGTTGTCTAATGATCCCATTCCCCATATCTTTCATATTAGCTGCAAGATCTTTCATTTCAAACTCGCTATTCATCCTAATTTTAACCTTTTGCACCTCAGGTTTACTATTGCTTGCTATCAAAGTATCATCTACATATAACAACAATACAACGATTAGACCTTTTTCTAGAAATTTGTTGTCAAGTATCGTATTTGCTATGTTCAAAATCAATTCTTGCAATCAATTCATACCATATAAGGATCTATTCAACTTACAAATATAATCCTCCTTGCCTCCTACCTCAAATCCTTCTGGTTGCTTCATATATATGGTCTCTTTTAAGTCTCCATACAAGAAAGCAGTCTTAATGTCCACATGTTCCAGCTGAAGGTTAAACTCAACAACTATGGCTAACAACATCTGAATGGATTTGTGTTTTACTACAAGAGAAAACACCTCATTGTAGTCGATTCCTTCACTCTGAGTAAAGCCCCAAGCCACCAATCTCCTCTTGAGTTTTTGTTGACTAGTTTTTAGATTTCCATCTTTGTGTTTGAAGATCCATTTACAATTGACCAACCTAGAACCCACAAGTTTATGAATAGGTCCAGATATTGTTTAGGCGAAGTGACTTCATCTCCCCAGTCATGGTGTCTAGCCATTGAGTCTTCTCCTTACTTGCTAGTGGAGAGGTCAAACTAGACGATTCACCATCTAACACCTCACTAGACTTAGGAGTATGCAATTAACTTTGCATAACCATACCTCGCTGAAGCTCTTACTGATCTCCTTGTTTTATCTCTGGTAAGCAAGTAAGCATCAACTTGTCTGTTTTCATTAGACATTTGCCATCTATCATCCAATGCATTGTCTTGTAGAAAATCAAACACTCATCTTGTACCACTCCACCTCAATGTTATCCCTATCATCATCATGGCTACTTGTAGGCTTACATTTTGAGACTTTTGGCTTGTAAGCCATTCCAATCTCATTGAAGCCTGCTAGAAGTCCCACAACGACTAGAGATAGTGGATGTAACCCTCACCTTATAAGCCGGTTTTGTGGGGTTTAGTTAGGTTTAAAGTCCACTTCTTAACAAAGTCGATGTCTCGGCTAATGGTACACTTCTTGAATCTTGACTCAAGACATCATAGACAATATGATTTTAAACCTTTTGGATAAACTAGGAACATGCACTTGACAACAAGTGCATTCAATTTTCCTTGCCTTATGTGAGCATAGGCAACACAACTAAAGATTCTCAAGTGATCAAGGTTGGGGGAGTAACTTGATCAAATTTCCTTAGGAGTCTTCATCTCCAGCGCTATTATAGAACATCTTCCAATTTTTGAAATTCTCAAAAGCTTCCTCCTTGGTCTTCTGTGGATAAATCCATAACTTCCTTGAGTAGTCGTCTACTATGGACAAGAAATATTTAGCTCCAAAGTGTGATGGAGTTGAAGATGGTCTCCATTGGTCAACATGGACGTAACCCAATGTTTCCTTAGTCATTTGCTTCCGTACGTCAATATGAATTCTACAAACTTTTCATGGACATTGCTCACAAAATCTCAACTACTCGATTTTGTTAGTGCCAAATAAACCTTCTTTCTTCAGTTCCACTAAGCCTTTCTCGTTTATATGACCTAGCCTTCTAATACCCAAAAATGTTCCTTATCAGTATGATTCCATCAAGTTAAATATGCTAGATTTTTATTCGCCATCCCTGCATATTGTTGTTTATCAATCAAATAATTCATGCAATGTGCCAAAACTTCAAGCATGCTCTGCTTCTCTATGCACATATGTAAAAGAAACAAGGTCTATAAAACATGTTATAGGAGATTTTGATATTCGCTACAAACTATAGTTGCAAGAAGAGCATGTTCTCAAATGTATTTTCCAATCTTAGGTTTATTGCCTCCTATTAAAAGATTTGCTTTGTCTCCTAACGTTCTTAATAACACAAATGTTGATTTTCCCACTATTTATAAAGGATCATGAGGGAATTGGTCACTATCTTGACTATATTTATTAAAGAATCAAATTGGTAGCGAGTTCTTAGGCAATGTATCATATTGTGTATATGATACTTCTCTGATACAAGTTTACATTTTTCTACCATATTTAATGAATTTTGGAAAGAAACAATAGTTTTTCTCTTAAGAAATGAGTTAACTTCCATGTTGCTTTCGTTTTGTTGTACTTTAATATTTCAGCTCTTATCCTTTGAAACAGGAAGATGGATTTGATTTGGATATGACATACATCACTGAAAATATAATTGCTATGGGATTTCCGGGTGGTGATATTAGCTCTGGAATTGTTGGATACATTGAGGTACACTTGTTGACAGTCAGTCCTTGTTTCTCATGTTCAAGTCAAGCTCAGTTATCATTCAATTTTGTTTTAAGGGGTAGCTTTGTTTCAGGGGTTCTATCGCAATCACATGGAAGAAGTGATCAAGTTTTTTGAAACACATCATAAGGTAACATATTATCTACCTGGATTCCTATTATCTGGTCATCCATTCGCACTCAGAATTTGGCAGAGCATTGAAATCTAATAGCTGGCATGATACTTGAGTCACACATTGGAAGTATTGGATTGTAGTATGGGGTTTATAAGACTTTCGCTCTCTAATTGCAGTGGCTAATTTGTGTTACAGATCTCCTACGTTTCATATAAATAAGTATGTAAAAGAAATCTAGAACAGAACCAAATAGTACTTTTCTTCTAGTTAACAGCCCAGCAATATAGAAGAACACATTTTATTGGAAAATTTGAACTATATCCTCTGTTAAAGCCATTAAATCCCTTCATAGTTCATATTGCACAGAATCCATTAGATAAACAAATCCTAACCCTTTGAATGGATAATATCCTATCCATCTAACGTAAAATCAATAGAATCTGAAAGATATTCATAAGTAATAAGCTTGGTTGTTTTTTTAGCTCGTGTACTTGAGTCTATGTGCAGTTTTAGTCCTCTTAGTTTTAGTTTTCTGGAACTTAGTCATCATATTTTCCTAATTGTTCAAATTGATTCCCCCACCCCAAATTTCATCCATTAATTAACAGAATCTTTACATAGGTGGTAATCTATCATTGCTATGTTTAGATTTTAGTCCTCTTGGTTTTAGTTTCTTGCATTTAGTAATCATATTTTCCTAATTGTTCAAATTAATTCCCCCACCTCAAATTTCATCCATTAACAGAATTTTTAAAGAGGTGTAATCTATCATTGATATGTATAAATTCACAAAGGAAAAAATATAAAATAATTAAATAAAATATATTTATTTTATTTCATACATTCTTTATTATTTACATATTTTATACATTTTTTTTCTTTGCTAATTTATACAAATTAATTTTATGCCACACCTTTATTACATTTCTATTAATCATTGGATAACTTTTTTAGCTGAGTATCTTTGAACAATTAAGAAACTGATATAATGGGGAGAAAAAAATATAATTAAGCCCAAAGTATAAAATAACATTGCTACATCACTTGGTTTAATTGTACAACACCAATCCACAGTATCCCAAATAACCGTTCAATTGACAGTGCTCTTGAACCCTTGTACTGCTTGTAAATAGATACGTTGAGTACCTAAGGTTCTAAAGATTCTGCCATGCTCCAACTTCCTCTACAAATTTGAATTACTCTTACTCATTTTTCTTGTGCATTACATGGTTTGCTCCAATAACTAATTTCTCCATGTATCTTTGTGTACTGAGTGTTGATAATTTATTATCTTATCACAACTTTATTCTTTTGAAACCTTGATGTGCAGGGTAAATACAAAGTATACAATCTTTGTTCAGAAAGGTTATATGATGGATCATTATTCCAGGGGAAGGTGTGATTTTCATCTTTATCTTCACTTTAGTAATCAAATTGATGTACTGGTATTGATGCGTAATAATTTTGACTATTACCTATCATTATTTACCTGTCTAGTCTGGTGCAGCTGCTCTTTAAGTGCATTTATTCTTTATGTTGTACTTAAAGTTGAAAATTTGAGTCAACTTGCCAAGAGCTTCTGATTGTTAATGTAGCTATCTAGTGTTTGGTATTTTTACATGTTTTAAATGACTGATCGTAGGACCTGATAGAAAGGAAATAGCATTTTTTTTCGTAAATTTTATCATGGGACCTGATAAAGATAAATAAGAAAGGAAAGTAAATGAAAAGTATTCTAAATTGTATCCTTTTTACGAATGGACGTTCTAAATTTTAATTTAGTCTTAATTTGTAGTAAATTAATATATCTTTCTGTTAACCTTTAATATATGTATTTTGAATACTGAGCATTCAATAACTTAACAAATCAGTAAAATACTTTTAAAGGAACTTTATGAAATGATTAAAAAGACAACAAAACCACGAGGGCATGTTAGTCGTCCCTCTTGTTGGACCCCCCCTCCTCTCCTTTACCTCAAACTATATGTTATGACACATTACGAACAGCCACACTTGGAATAATGGATTAATGTAAAACAAAACACGAATGAAAAAGAAAAAAATCTGCTTGTTTCTTTGTTGTCTAACTTTGGTGGTTGATATTGGGTATAGTTTGACAGTACCTTGCATATCCTCGACAGAAATATTTAGAAGATCCTATTGACAAAGCTTTCTTACACTCAAATGCAGCCAATTGGCATGCCATTCCCCGAAGAGCTCTAACAACATTTTGGAGTGTCTGAAAACATCACATAGGAACATTAAAAAATTGGATATAACCATGGAGAAAATAATTATTTGACTTTTTTGTTGCTGTTTGGTTTTGCAGATGTCAGAAAAAGAATTAAAGAATGGACCACAATTTCTTATATCAAATTGAATTGGCGTAATATTTTTGTTTGTCCTGTTAACGTACTGGGATTGTTTTCAGGTTGCAACTTTCCCATTTAGTGATCATAATTGCCCCCCTATTCAACTTATAGCATCATTCTGTCAAAGTGCATATTCATGGTTGAAGGAGGATATTCAAAATGTGGTGGTTGTTCATTGTAAAGCTGGTATGGGGAGGACTGGACTGATGATATGTTGTCTTCTTTTGTCTCTTAAGGCAAGTCATGATAATCAACTCCAAAGACTTTGGAATTTTAGTTGTGCTCTTCTATCTGAATTTTTCAATCTTTTGACTGTCAATATTATTTTGCAGTTCTTCCCAACTGCAGAGGAAGCTATTGATTACTTTAACCATAAAAGATGTGTAGATGGAAAGGCTCTAGTCCTCCCTAGTCAAATAGTCAGTCAATAATTTTGGTTTATTGTTTTATTAAATATGGGATATATTCTGCCATTCTGGACATATTCTTCTAAAATCATTTATTTCTGTAATTTTTTAGAGATATGTAAAATACTTTGAACGGACTTTAACACAATTCAATGGAGAAGTCCAGCCTGGTCGAAGGTAAGATGTAATTTTGTCACATTGTCCCAGAATCGAAGAAGGTTCCTCTTAATTTGGACTTTGACAGGTGCTTACTAAGAGGGTTCCGGCTTCACAAGTGCCCTTATTGGGTTAGACCATCTATTACAATTTCTGATCATAAGGGTAAGTAGCAAAGTTCACTGTTTTCTCTTCATGTCATTCCAATAATACTATAGTGTGAATTTCAACACATTTTTTAGCAAAGCTAAAATCTCATACATACTGTTTGGTTAAGAGGATGGGTGAAGATGGAAGTGATTGGTGGATTGGGTGGGAAAGAGAAGAGAAATAATTAAAAAAATAGTGGAATTCGTTGTACCATTACCTATTTATACTCATCTCTTTATCTCTCCCCTCATCTTATACCTATGCTATTCATCTATTTACATTTTAGCTACTTATTTCCATCTAACCTATTTGTCTCCATCTACCCAGCAAAGTATTAGATTCCAATTTTTGCATGAAGAGAAAAGGGAAAATGTAATGGTACGATTGTAAAAAAGACAAATTGTGTGGAGTCAACTAGTGCTGTACTTGCTTGGTAAAGGAGTAAATGCACGAATGGACATAAATGAGATGACAAATAAAAATAAGTTCTCAATATTATCTCATATTAGTATAGCTCAAGAAATTGAACCATTCATCTCGGGGTCTGGTTCCCAACTGAAAATAAACCAAAGTATTTGATACGCATTTCTACCTCTAGAAGGCTCTAGTTTCTGCGGTATTTTCTCATGCAAATAGTCAAGTTGTTCTTACGACTGACATTTTAATCTACAAAGCCTGATGTTTTAACTTATTCCCAGGAGTTTTGTTTGCCACAAGAAACCATCCCAAAACAAAAGATCTATTGGTACACTATTTTTTATCCCTTCTTTTGAGTTTTGATATTATATGGATTTGGATTTGATTACTGAATTTAATTTCTACACTCAGCCAGAAGATTTCTGGATCAGTCCACCGAAGAAAGGAATTGTGGTTTTTGCTCTACCAGGAGAACCTGGTCTAGCAGAGTTGGTAGGAGACTTCAAACTTCATTTTAATGATAGACAAGGAGATTTCTACTGGTTTGTTCAGAAACCTGTTTCTTTCGGGCCCCTTTTTCAGAACCATTATGATTATATTGTGACATTTAGAGTGATTTTAATACATAATTTTTTTATCAGGATCTTACATTTTTAACATGATGACGTAATATTGTATCATGATAATTATTTTCATTTATACTCCAATTTATATTATAGATTTGTTCTCTTAAAAGATGTATATAATATGAAACAAATTGTTTACACAAATTAACAGTTTTCTTGATGTAACAATTTCTTCCTGGCAGTTGGATGAATACAACAATGACAGAAAATCGAATAATTTTAGATGGTTCAGATTTTGATGGTTTCGACAAGGTAAATATTTACTTCTATTCAATTTTATTTTTTATGCAGGTTTAACCTGACTATCTTGCTGCAGTCCCTACTTAAGTTATTGGTTTATTCTCTGAACCTGACGATAATTTAAACCTTACCGTTGCACCCTTCAGAGGAAGATCCCCGCTCCAGGATTCCGGGTGGAAGTTGTCATGATAGACTATAATGGCACCCTACCTTCAAGGACAAAAGCAAATTCCGCCAGCAAAGGATCTGACCGAAACACAATCAATGCCCTACCTGGTCCAAAGCCTACTACATCTAATTCAACTGAGAGTAAACTCCCGAGAAATGAAGATGATGTATTCTCAGACAGTGATGAAGAGGAGGGCCGAGATACACAAAGCAAGAAAGCTGCAACTGAGTACAAATTTCATCAAGCTTCTGAGGAGACAACAGACCACGTAGGGATGTTGACACACTCAACTGATCGATTGTCACTAAAGCATGAGGCAGGCATGCAGAACAATACTTCTGAACAATCAACTGCAGATGAACATAATAAAATTCATACAGGCAATAGCAGCACAAACGTGGAATCTGTAGGGGCAAGTGACATCAAGGCAATTGCAGCAGATGCTTCAGTTTTTTCCTTTGGGGATGAAGACTTTGAAAGTGATTGAAAGGAGGTGGGATGAACTGCTTATCCATTTCATTCCTATTAAGGAAAGGCATTAGGCATTACAGGAATTCATTGGTTTCTCCCAATTTGTTGTGAAATGAACTTTCCTGTATTTGTTTATTTATACCTTGTATATTTTTAATTTACACATTTATGTGATTCTTTCAAGTTTTCTACGTTATGCGCTTCCCTGTCGTCTGGAGAATTCCACAAAAGGTAACAAATACAAATCATATTAGTGTATTGTGAGTTGAAATAAGAAAAAAGTAACAAAAACATACCAATATTTCTTTCCAAAATTGATAATATTGGGTAACAAATCTTAGTGCCTGCGTTTAATCTTAATTTAAAGGAATCATGGTCTTTTTCTTATTAATTGCCTGAAAATATTTGAAAGAAAAAGTTATTTTTCAACTCTAATCATTCGTCAAACTTGCAGTGTAATATTATTTTTCAGGTTCACATTCAATAATTTATGTAAATATTTTTTTTGTTAAGATCTTAAATGACATGTAATAAATAATATATAGCTTGGGAAAAGAAGTTGCAGTGTGCTAATATAAACGGACGAAATAGCACATTTCAATCTCTGGGTTGATGAAAGGAAGCTCTGTTTAAGTAACTGGTAGTGCATGTTGAAGTAATGACTTAAATATTCCCACGCTATCAGTTTTTCACTATCAAAGAATAGATGTAATTTTAATCAAAATTAGAGTTTCATCAGATCAACCAATGAAGCAAATACACTGACGTAGGACATAAAATACTGATATGGATATAACTGATATATTGCAGCCAATGTCCAAAATATAAGACATGAACACATCGATGATATATATAATCAACAAGACAAACTTTAACCTTAATTAAGAATTAATGTGTATGATTTACACTGTAAAAACAAATTTTCTAATAATTAGTTTTATCTTATAGCAACAAGCTTAAAAATGTTACTGATATTATATTACATTTTATATTTTTGTAATTGTAAGAAGATTGTCTGTGTCTGACGCTTCCCAGTTTCCAATCTTTTAAATCAAGTTAATATTAAGGGAGAGATGAAAGTCTAAACATTAATTAATGAATACCACTCCAAATACAGCACCTAAATTTTGTATCTATCTAAATTGTGGAATGTTAAGGGACTGAATATATATGGCTAGTTAATATGTTCATTCGGTAAAAACTCAAAAAAGTGATTGTCATTTCCAACCAACCATAAAATACGCTTTCTGAGTTCTCATCCTCAACCATATAATACACAGTCAGCAACGTAGCACCTAGCAAGTATATTAAGAGAAATGAGATTTATCATAATTTGTACAATTAATTTATGGTGAAATATGCAGATTTTTATCAAAACTAGACCGAGTTTTCAGTATTTAACTAGACCGAGTTTTCAGTATAGAGACAAACAGGGGAAATAATCTACAACAGATTGAAAAAAGAGACAATCAACGAGGGTAATTGACATATCTAGTTAACAATACAGATGCTGCTATCAGCTGTTCATAAGAAAACAAAAAATCACATAACCAACACCACAAAGACAGGCAATCAACATGAAAACTCATCTCACATATTGGGGGAAAGCCAACATGGGAAGAAGCTACTTTCTTACTAACATCATAAAAAGCTGCTACTGGACACATTATCAATGTTAGACAGCCTTCTGAAGGCACATGATAATATATTTCTACCAGCCAAAAGGCCCAACCTTGTTCGCAACATTGTCAATCGGGTGTTGTTATTAGTTGAAGGAGCCTCAGCCTCCGCCTCAGCGTCTGCCTCAGCCTCTGCCACACCATCCTGAGCTCCTCCAACACCATCACTTCCACTCCCATCCAAAGCTTCAACTTCACTATCATCATAATTAAACGCCAAAGAAACCCTCTTTTCTCGCACCCACTCTACCCCTCTACCAGTAATCTTTCTGCACTTCTTCACCTTAACCTTAACCAAATTGGGACACCCCGAAGCTAGAGCTCCGATCCCAGCATTGGATACAGGACACCCTTTAATGCATAGCTTCTTGAGTGCAACACACTTATCGGCAATACACTCAATCTCTGCATCACCAACCGTTCCAATCCCACAAAGAGCCAACCTCTCCAAATTCCTGCAATTGCAAGCAATCGCCGCCAAGCTCGAAAAAGTAGGGTAAACGCCAATCAACACAAGCTCCTGCAAATCAGGACAGTGTTTCGCAATCGCAGCCAAACCATCATCACCAATCCTATTAGTCCTCCATCCATCTATGTGAACCTTCCTCAACAACCTACACCTCTCAGCAACCATCGCAAGCCCTACATTGGAGCACTCCGCGGTTTTCACAACGTGCAGAGTCTCCAACCTCAAACACCTGGCCACCCCCACAAGTCCCACATCGCTAACTTGAACTTTCTCCAAGTGAATCTCAACCAAACCACCGTTTAAACACCCAATCCTAACCAGACTATCATCCCAATCCCCCGTACACCCAATCACCTTCAAAGTTCGAAGCTTCTTCGAACCAATCACAAGCGGCGCAAAGCTTTGACCGTTCACGAGCTCCTTTATGCATATAGATTTCAACGAAGCCGCGGCACCAACCTCCACCTCGGTGATTTGGGGGACCCCGCGGAGCCGCTTCAGCGTTAGATCTTCTAACGTGACGCATCGATCGAGCAGCGCTGCGATTCCCTTCGTGCCGAACATGCACGACGCGCACGATAGCTTCTTCAAGGCCTTGCAATTATCCCCTACGCCGGCCATTCCAATTTCCGTTACGTCACGGCACCCGCGCAACTTCAGACGCGTGAGGTTCCTGCACCGCTTCGAGATCATAATCAAAGCATCGTCGTTTAAGCTCGCGTACTTACGGTCGATTCGTAAAGTGAGTTTTGTGACCGATTCGAAGCGGTCAAACAGGGGAGAAACGAGCTCTTGCAATTCAGGCCGAGCGACAAGCGAGAGGCGGTGCCGTCTCTCGCCGTCCACGCGGCGCCATCGCCGGCAGACCTCAGAGCACTCTTTCCTGTCGGCGTTGCTGAGAAAATGGAAAATCACGGCCAAGCAATCGTCGGAAAGACGGATTGTGTGGTCGGCATCGAAATCGGGATCGCTGCTTGAATGTAACTGAGAAATTTGTTGGCGATTGATATCCGGCACAGGCGGCGCGGCGGTGGACGGTGACTGTCCCATGGAAATGTGTGCGGGAAGCGGCGGAGAGGTATTGAAGGATTTATTACAAAGAGAAGGCATTGAACTTAAGGGAGGAGGCGCGTGGGGCACTCGCGCAACCACCTGGAAGTGGGCGAGATTTGCGTATGGGTTCATGCATCAGAGTCAGCCCAGGTACGCTATAGTGGGCTTGCGTGTCTCTGTCATCTTGGACCTGGCCTTTCACCTTTCTTTTTCATCTTTAAACTTTTTTTTTTTATTACCTTCTTTTATTTATCTATTTTATACTCTACATTTAAAACTAAAATAGAAAATATATATATATTATATATATAACATAAAAGGAGTTCGTTTGCTAAAAAAGTAAGAGCATACATACCTTCTATTAATTATTTTCTACTACCATTATTTTTCTTATATTTTTAGACATTATTAAAATGATTGTAAACATAGGAAAAGAAAGGAAAATTAAAAAGTAGTATCTAGTACAGGTAAATTTCAGTTAAAGTTCGTTTCAACCCAATTGACTACTAGCAACACCTCTCTCTTTCCAGAAAACGCGCACATTACTTTACCTATTTTCTTTATTTGACTTAACATTTTCTCTAAAACTTTTCTTATTACCAATATTTGAACTTCTAAATATATGGAAAATTTTCAATTTATTAGTTATTTGAATGCTATAATTTAAAGAAATTTGAAAAGGTCATCTGAGCAGTCTTGAATATGAAGAATTTTTAAAGCCAATTACGCTATTAAATTGTGCGAAATTACCTTGAAATGCCGAAATGGTCGTCTTCATCGTCTCGTGTATTAGACCGAATCTAATGGGTTTTTTATTCATAAAAAAGTTTTATTTTCATATAAATTTTATAGATGCAAAATATTTTCAAATTAAAGAAAATTATTTATATAAAAATATCTCTTTAAGAACATTTTCTCCTTCACAAACCCCTAATTCAACTCTAGTTGATGGTTGTGACTAGTCTGTATTAAAACTACAAAAACCACTCATTTATTACCAGTTTTTTCACATCTTTTCTTTCATCTTTTTTCTTTTCGGTCATCGTCTTCATCTCTGAAATACCCGATTTCCATCGAGGACCCAATCTTCAGTCCACCATCAGAATTTCAGTTTCCAACATCTAATAATTTTACGTAAAAATAAAATATGAAAAGTATGTTTAATTTAAATATGTTATTATAATTCCTTAAAAGTATTAATTAAGTTGTACACGTGTCTGTGTCATCCTTGCATTGCACTTGTGCGTTTCCCTTGAGTCAAAGTTATAATTGAAGATCAGAATTGATGATTACTTGGTTGGATGGGAAAAGCAAGCATTATTACTGGCTGGGATTGTTTTTCAAGTTCTTTTTACTGTTATATACTGCAACATCATCTTCAAGTAGCTATGGCGCAGTGGAACGAAAATAATGTTCACTTATTATTCTCTCATTTGCATCCAACACATCACGACAACCTTTTAAGCTCTTTTGGTCACTCTTTTCGTATATAGCAAAACCATCCACTTCACACCATCATTTACACTTTCCCAATTCTAATTAACATCGTCTCAAAACCCTAAACGTGTCGTGCTTCAATAATACAGGTTCCTTTTTAAGTGTGGATTATAATATACTATCAAATGATTCTGAGGGAAATCTCTTTAGAACAACCTCTTTTTTCAAAAGAAAAACCAGCAACACTACTTTACTTCGTATGACAAGAGACTCGTGACTGTGTTATTTTCTTCATATCTTATCAGCGAAGAACTTCTATTATCAGTAATATTATAAAAAGTGTTTCTTTTAATTAAGCGATGTAAGATTGAATCTTAGTAACGTGTCTTACTTTAGATATGAAATAAATTATGTCGAAGAGGAAGTACTTGTGCATTCATGATCCCTCATAATACCAACAACATATGTTTACAAGAAAATTGTGATCTGATGATACAAACATATGGTTTTTCCATGAAAACAATTAGATTATTAAAGGTACTGAAGCAACCCAGTTTAATGGTTTGTCATTAATGTAAGCCCATAGTTACTAGTGATTACTTAACATTTATATTACCCTTAGTAAGAAGAACATTACCACTACCACTAAATAACACCAATCACATTGTCATTTCGTCAGTGAATAAATATTGTCACTGTCAATGTTACAGTTTTATTATTATTATTATTATTATTATTATTATTATTATTATTATTATTAGTAAGAGAAAAATAGTTACATATATAATTATTATTTATGGTACAGAAGTAATCCGTTTTAGTGGTTTGTCATTGATGTTAGCAAATCCTTTCTATAACTGAGAATTTTATTAATTACCGCAACCGTGATTATTTAACTTTCATATTACCATTATATGTTATATTACCGTTAGTAGAAAAATTATCACTGCCACCAAATAAAACCAATCACGTTTGTTGTTATTGTCAGTAAATATTGTCACTTCCAATATTCACTTCTCTCCTCGTTACCAGAACAATAGTAATCACATATATAATTATAATGGTATTTTCATTTTTTTTTCTTCCATTTCACAAAAATCACTAAATTGTTGGTTATCAACATTTCCATTATTTAAATAATCATTTAAATTCAAACACTTGAACTTTTTTATACAAAAACAAGTTTAAAAATAATTATTTAAATACAGGATGTGCCCATATTATTGTTTTTAAAATGTAAGAGCTAAATTTATTTATTTTCTTGCATCCATTTTTTTTTTGGAAGTATTTTAGGAATGTGGGAACAGTTTGGCAGACAGCAAAAGGAAGAGGCGGGGAATAAAAAAAGACAAAGCTATCATAAAATAAATTTTTATTTATTTTAATTTATTTTATTAGTTTTGTTTTATGCAAACGTAACTGAGCTGAGTCCTAGTTCGAACTCTGACTATTATCTGCGTCAGTAACGTTATGAAATGAAAATATTAAATGGCTTCTTCTTCCTCTTCCTCACACCATAGCCAAACAAATTTCTATCTTCTTATTCGTATTCTTCGTCTTCTTCGTCCAACACCATGGCTCAGCCACCCTCACCCTCCTTCCTCCTCTGTCATGAACAATACTCCTCTTTCCAACAACATTCTCCAACTCTCATAACCACCCCATCTTCACCTTCCATTTTTTCCGACGACCACCTCTTCTCCCAACACGACCACCTTCTCTCTCTACTATCCAAAGAGACCGCAACGCATTTCACTCCCTCCCCTTCCCACCACGTCGTACGCTGGATTTCTACACTTTCCCATTTCCACGGTTTCGCTCCTCTCACCACCGTTCTCGCCGTTAACTACTTCAACAGGTTCGTTAACCGAAGGAGCTTTCAGACCGAAGATAAACCGTGGAAGACTCAACTGGCAGCCGTTGCTTGCGTCTCTCTCGCAGCAAAAGTGGAGGAAACACGGGTGCCGCTTCTTTTGGAGTTGCAAGTACGTTTTCCAACATCGCTGTTTGTTCGCTAAAGTTCCGAGTTTCCTTGTTTTTCCAATGTTAAACGTGGAAAGTTTTCGATTTGTTTAGGTGGAGGAATCGGAATTTGTGTTTGAAGCGAAGACCATACATACGATGGAGCTCCTCGTGTTGTCCACTCTCGAATGGAAAATGAACCCCGTCACTCCAATCTGTTTCTTTCAACACTTTCTCACAAGGCTTGATTTAAAGCGTCACTTGCACTGGGAATTTATGTGTGGGTGCCAACATGTTCTTCTTTCAGTCATTGCCGGTAAGATGTAATAACGTTGATAAATATGTAATAATGTCATTGCCGGTACATTCATATTAATCTGTGACTAACTCGGTGTTTATTGTAAAATTTATAATTATTTGTTTTTCAGATTCAAGGGTTATGAGTTATCTTCCTTCTACATTGTCTGCTGCTATAATGATACACGTTATTGAAGAGATTGAACCATTGAATGCTGCGGAGTACCGAAGTCAACTTCTTGGTTTACTCAAAAGTAACGAGGTGTGTCACTTTATCTTTAATTGCTAAAATCTGCTACATTTTTGAGTGATTGATTGTAAAATTTTGGTGGGTATGTTGCAGGAGCAAGTGAATGAGTGCTACAAACTGATGCTGGGACTATTGGTTTGCTGTAAAGGGATTCACAATCCTGGTCAGAGGCGCAAACGTGTCTCTGAGCCAAGTAGCCCTGATGGGGTCATTGATGCATCTTTCTGCTGTGAAAGCTCAAATGATTCGTGGTCAGTGGCATCACTTTCTGTGGAGCCAGAGTTAAAGAGGAGAAAAGATGAGGACCAGCAGATTCGTTTGCCCCCAGTGAATCGAGTGTCTATTGATGTTCTAAATATTCCTCGTTAATAACTTAGAATCATGGTAGTTTTATTAGAAAACGCAAGAAAATATCTGGCAGTTATGTTATGGAGGAGTACTTTTGCTGTCAGTTTCTACATTGATGGCTGAACACTTGACAATGAACGAGGCAGAGAGAAACTCTATTCCTTCACTGTTATACAAGAGGATCTGATACTGAGTAGCAACGTTACATGAAATGTAGTATTACATGTGCATGTTCAATTACGCGTGATGTTTCCCAATGAGCAACATTCAAGGGGTTTCCTTTGTTTCTTTGTTATCTTCCCATCTCTCCCTGTTAGTACAGAACAGGAACTCCACATTAAGGTTAACATGTAAACAAAGATGGCTAGAATGTCTTCTGCAATGCATTAGATGAACTAATGAAATTATAATACGAGGTCAAACAAGACCCGGAAACAAGTCAGTTAACAAAGACATACCAACTCTACATTTATGCTTTCACTTATCTCAATATGTTAATATTATGTTTATATGGAACCAATATGTTAATAAATGGATATGTATAATTTGGTTCCATTTGAGTCATCCTCATTTGTGGACATTTGGTCTCAAAGTTGTTGGTTACCAAACCCAGCTTTCAGTTCTAACTCCATTTCATGAATATATAATAACTCCTTTCTTGTCAGGTTTTGGAAGAAAATATAGCAATTAAAAGTGCATGATGTATTTTTCAATTCAATGGTCGTATAGTCTGATCAAACTTTTTTTTCCTGTTTGACAATAAGTATGAACATGGGACTTTAAGCAATTCAGTGTCTGTGGTTGCAAATTTAATGCAGCATTTGCTGTCACTAACTACCATATTATAATTGAAAATGCAAGTTCATATTATGAACACTATGGCTAATAATTGAAGATGCAACTCCATATGGGTTTTGAGCACTTGGAACATCTCTGACAGAAGCAACTTATTGAAGTTGCTTCATATATTAAAAGTGTAGTTTGTAATTTCTATTATGTCATACTGCTGTTAAGAAAGTTGTTCCTAATGTTGTTCTGACGGAAGAACTTTTAAGAAGCTTTAAGCAATTTACAATTTTAGATAATAATATTTATTATTTTAATTGGCAAAGTAATTTTTTTTTTTTACTTTTAAGGTTGAGATGCTTAGGGAAATAATAAAAACACCTTTTAAGCATATTGTGAGTGTTTGCATAACACTTTTTCAATAGACAAGTTCCTTGAAGCAACCTAAGGCAACTTCTGAACATTTCTAATTGAAGCTACTCTTGTCATTATAAAGTAAAGATGCGAAAATAGAAAATGCATTTTGCACGATAGCTAAATAATGATAAAGATGGGCTCTAGCTGCTATGAACTTGAATTGGATGTAGGTGATGGGTGATCGACAAGTTTTTTGGAATGATGAATTCTCTCTGAACTTTTAGGAGTTTTGTCAGACTTTTATGTTTGGAAAGTGATAAAGCCATGCTCATAATATAGCTATTAATTACACAGAAGAAGAGAAAATAGGCACGCAAAAGAGGCAAAATGATCAAAGGGAAGACCAGTCATCATAGGACGAAATATTTGAAAAAGACAAACTTTTTGAAATTGGGTGCCTCTGTTACCTCTCTGTCCTGTTCCTTTCCCATTTTGAACTGAGTTATGGTCAGCTATGTGTTGCTGTTTTATCATGGCATAGTTATGATGAAAGATTTTCAATGTGCCCAACAATAATTCTGTGTGATATAATGATTCTCCTTCATATTGAACTTTTGCATGCTTTGTTTAGACTTAGGAGAAGCATTAGGCAAACCAAAAACTTAGGTTGTGTTGACCAATAGGTTACAACTTAAATTGTTTGGCAAAAACAAGTCTGCTTCAGATTTTCTATCATACCAGAAAGAAGAAGATTGTGATATGATTGAAGTCTATTTGGGAGGAGTAGGATAGTGTTATAATTTCGATAGCAAAGGGACCACGAGTATGACCGAGGGGTGTGTGCCAAATGAAAAGGGTTCTTCTGATGTACAACCAAGAGACAGAAAATGTGCATAATGTGATATCTATCTATAGACTAAAGTTGCTACCTAGAAATATAGCATCAAAAGCTAATAAGGAGCCAGCATTCTCCACATGCACGTAATATTAGGTGCGTTATGCTTTTGGTTAAAAGTGCCAAATTTATGTAAGCCAGTTTTGTTTCCGCATAATCTACCTCTTTTAGCTACCATGCAAATATTGGTGTAGATGTTTGGTCTAGCGGCTTAATTATGAGACCACATAAGTTAAATGGAAAGGACTACCACCAAAAACAAACACTTTTTTTCCACCAACCTAAACAATATTGCTTACTCTATTCTTTATATCAAACAAATTCTTCACTTTAACATTCAAAATTTCAAACCCAGTAATAATGTTTGAATAAATTATTTAAATTAACAAGCTTTTCACATCAGAGCTTATGTTGTAAGTTTCACTACTTGAAATAGGCTAAAAGAGTAATCATTCTCTAAAGCCTTTTTCAGGGACCACCAAAAGCCTAAGTTAAACGAACACAGACCATGAATGCTTTATTTCATCTTTAACATGCCCTATCACGCAAGAGCCCCTCTAGCTTTCAAGCATAAATAATGCACATGTCCTTCCATCATGCGCTGATATTAAAGTTTTTATTAAGATAATGACAGATACATTAGGTTAAATCACGTCAATGATTTCTTCTAATCTGGACATTGTCATCATTTTACACTTTTTCCTTCTAACAGGTGTAGTCTACAACAGCTGGGTGTGCGCATAATACTCCTCATAACTTATGTACTTAAATGCCTTGAACGGCTATGTCATACATATATCACAGTGATTGACATCATAAGTAGTTCGAAGTTCAACAAATAACAGATACAATAAAACTCATTTATGTCTATTATCAAACTATATATATAATAGAGTCTGAGCATTCATATCATTGAAGATCAGAAAAGCAGTCAAATCCTGGTTCATCTTGTCTTGTTAGATATGTGACTGGATAACCAATCCAACCCTTCGTAGAGTCCTAGCCCAGATGTGGCACAGGTTGGTTGGATGAACCTTCATAAATAAATAACAAAAAACAGCTAAAATTAGTTATTCATTGAACATTATTAATTCTCACGAAGTTGTTATGTGTGATTGCTAAATGATTAGAGTTTTAAACCTATGCCTTGGTTTCTGATATTGAATCATTGTAATTAAAATGTGACATACCAGCGACGCAGGCGAAGTGAATGTAAACCAAGTTTGTCTGTAATTTCCGCAACACTTAAAGCATTAGGAAGGTCTTGCTTATTGGCAAACACCAGAACTGTAGCATCGCGAAGTTCATCCTGCAATGCTCATCATCAAACAAGATTATTGCCTCATTTAACTGTCCGAGAACAAAGCTTGCTGATTTTCATTTGGGGAATCTTCTGATAAAATTTAACCATGGTTCAAAGTCTTACTTGTTTAACTAAAATTACTGACCTCACTTAGCATTCTGTGCAATTCGTCTCTGGCTTCCAAAATTCTGTCTCTATCGTTACTGTCTACCACAAAGATAAGACCTTGTGTGTTCTGAAAATAGTGTCTCCACAATGGTCGAATCTACATATATAGGATTTGGCATAGAATCGGATTATAGTAGTTTTTGTAACATGTGCATGGATCGTTACCATATACTGATGATCCCATAAAAATTATATTTTGGTAGACAAATCTGTAACCGCAGGATTTCAAGGTTCGTTTCTTAATAAATTAAGATGTATCCAGAAAAACACAAAATACCTTGTCCTGCCCTCCAACATCCCAGACGGTGAAGCTGACATTTTTGTACTCAACAGTCTCCACATTGAAGCCTGATCCATCAAACACATATGCCCAATTTTAATCATTTCATTTGTCACCCATATTGTAAATATAATTATCTTTCGATTTTTATAATTTAAAAGTGTAACTTTTTCTTTTTGATTTCTCTCAATATGAAGTTCATGAGAGAAATAAGGTGGATCAATCACACGTCCTTGAGTACAGTATATATATAGTACGAATTCAGAATATTTGTCTAAGAACAGAGGGAAAAAAGGTACGGTGACTAGTATGAACCTATTGTGGGTATTGTAGTGACGATTTCTCCCAGTTTAAGTTTATAGAGTATTGTTGTTTTCCCAGCTGCATCAAGACCCACCATGAGGATCCTCATTTCTTTCTTCGCATAAAACAATCTCATTAGCCGTGACACCGTCAAACCCATTGTTGCCTCTGTTTCAATCAAAATTTTGGCTGAAAAACCCACCTAAAATGTAAACAGTGGAAAATTAAAAACAAAATTAACCATAGAATTCTTTTCATACCAAAAAGATGTACTTTTTTCTCTTCCAAACTTTGATGGAAGGAGAGGAAGGTACTACCTCAAAAAGATGTACTTTTTCGCAAGCAGAGGAAACTTAAAAATTACTCTGTTGCTCGTATATTTTATAACCATGTGACCAGAAAATAGCACCGGGAATCAATACTGCACTAGTAGAAAGAGGAATAGGATTCGAGTGTAGATAGCTGAACGAATAAAGTGGAATGATGGGCATGCCATTTGAAACCATGGGTAATAAAAGCGACTTATTATGATTGTCCCTCCATGCAAAAGCGATCTTCTGATATGAATTTTCTAGTCCCATCCAGAAGTGAGATTCGGATGACACACTACAGAAGTTACATCAGCGTCAAACCAAAGCGAGGGTTCACGCAAAAGCAACAAACCTCGATTTTCTAAAAAACATGTTTTTGTTAATGTGGATGTGAAAATACCGAAAAATGGTATAGCTGGTTTGGCTAATCAGCCTTGGAATAGAAAGTAAAAACAGGGATTTATAGGATTAATTCGGATACAATACTGAATACATCGCACTACTTTGTCCATGTCTTCGTGACTACCGGACAACATAGCAATAACAATAAAAGAATAAATTTACACATTGCCAAACCTATTTCCTTGGCTAAACAAATGGATCAAGGACACTCCATGGTTACATTACTTTTTGGCCACGGCATCTTTGGCGGACTGTAGAGTGGATGTAACAGCAGCAGCAGCACCGGCAAGTATTCCACCACTGGTGTTTTTCGTTGTATGGACCTGGTGAATTACATCAACCTTCCTCATTTCTTGACCTTGCCCTGCTGAAGATCGATAATCCACACTTTCCACCTTTTTCTCCTCGCAATTCTGTGCATTCGCAGTCTCATTCTGACAGAAGGATTCATACAGATTCATTCATTTATCATTAGAACTGCAAAATACATAAACAGAAAAAGGTTCTGGAGTTACATACTAACCTTCGATTGTTCATTCATGTTAACCAATTAAATTAAAAATTATAGATCACTTCCTCCCGGGTTATTTGTAATGGAATTTGGGCTTTTAAGAGTGGAGGAAGGCAAATCAAGACTATCTATGAATACGGAGAACAAATGCGGAGTAAAAGGACCTAAATAACTACGCACCCCACATGTCACCGCTTGGCATGTCCTCACATTCGGTAATTGAATTGATGATATTTTTGGAAGGGAGCCTAAAATTAAAAACATTATTTTGTTTAACCAGGTGATTATTGATTGATAGCGTATCTACAATTCAGGAATTGATTACAAATGTAATTTGACCCGATTTGACAATGGTATTCGATCGTCACAAAATAATGAAAAAGAAAAGCTGAAAATGGAATTGGAGATAAACAAGCCAGAAATTGCTTGACTAGGATCAGAAACAACAATTTGTTGATGACAATAGAAAAATCTACAAGGCAAAATATATCTGGCTATATTTTTCTAGGCTGATATATGTTATAACTTGATAACACAACTATCCTAGAACACCTAATCAATATAATATCCCGTCAATTTCACACATGAAACATAACCAAAACAGTTGAACAGGTTGCTAATTGAGATTAACAACTAAAGGACGCCTCCCTCCTTCCTTAACAAGTCATAAGAGGTGACCCACTACAGTGAATATCCGAAATATCAGAAAGCCTCTGTCTGGGAGACAACGTTGCGATGCCAGCAGCATCAAAATCAATATTGGCAATATTCTTTCTCTTGTGAGTTTCTGAACTGCTTTTCTCTTCCGAAACCTCAGCGATTGGGCTCAACCCCTCTATTTCCTTGTGACCAACAGAAAGCATAGCTTGAGCTTCAGCCACAGCCGTCCCATCATCATCTGCAGCATATAATATCTTCTGAATCGCCCCAACGATCTGAATCATCATAAACAACAATCACAGCACACATGATCATTACCTAATAGCAACACCAGTCAATAACTAAAAACAACGAAAACACAGTACCGGAGAGTGTTCTATCTCAGGAGTCTGGCACAGTATCTCAATATCTCTCAGTTTTGCAAAGTAGAAGTCCCGTTCTTTCTCCAGACTATCGATGGACAACTTCAACTCCGTTATCTGCATCAACTTGAATATTAGAGAAATGTATTTTCATCATTCGTTTGATAATTCTCGTTTACGTGAAAACAGAAAAAACCTTTTCCTCATAGGCAGGGCCACCTGCACTAGGTGCTCTCGCGACCTTAACAGCCTGATTTGTAGGATTTGCATTGGAAACCTCGGTTCTTCGAGAATTATGGGAAGACTGAGGTCTCTGCGAAGAAGAACCCTTGGTAGAGGCTTGGGAGTTTGCAGATTTCTTACTCGTTTCTCTTCCTCCTCTGCAAACCTCTCTCCTCTCCAAAGCATTATACCTACAAACACTCAGCATATTGTATTTTAATTTTAAATTTAAATAATTTATATCCCCAATACCTAAAACATTGCACTACAGAATCCAAAGTTCACAAGATTCTCCCCGCCTGGTTAGGTTTGAATTTCAATCCTAAACCCTAATTATCAATTCAAAACAACTAGCCAATGATAGCAAGTTAATTTCAGCGAATTAAAATAGGAATCTGCAAGGATAAATATATAGGAAGAGAATCAAATTAAGATTGTATTACATGTTCTGTCCTGAATTGACAGAATCACAGTATCTTTTCATCCACTGCATGAACTCGAGGTTATCCAGTGGCCTTCCTTTCACGAGCTTGCTGACTTCGATGTGCTGTCAGACACAATGAGCAATTCAGTAACCCAATTAAAGATCGTCCAAAATTAAAGCAAAAACAGAGACCATATTGAAAGAGGAGGAAGGGAGAATGTTGTTACCTTGGTGATTTTGAGTTTGTTGAAGACATCTTGAAGAACCTTGTAGTTCTGAATCATCTCATACTCGTTCTTGGCATCGAAATTGACTTTGTGCATCGGCACGATCCCTGGATGAGCCGCATCGAGAAGCTGGCAGTGAACTGCGCCAGAACATGCCTGGAAATTTTTCGATCAAACGAAATTAACAGAGTAAGAAACTGTGAAAGAAAACTTAAACAAAGTATAAAAAGAACTGGATCAGGACCTCTTCGACTTTGGAGAGACTGAGTTGCAGAGTCGAGTTGATCCAAGAAAGAATCTCAGATCTGCCGACGAAGTAAGCCGCATCCATAATTCCAATGTTGGTCGCCATTTCTCTCTCTCTCTCTCTCCCTATGCTCTTTTGTGTTCTCTTTCTACTAACGGCTCTTTCGCAAAGAAACAGAGGTGGTATATATATGGAGAGTGGAGCGGGAGTTTTCAAATTCAAAATCTCCTGATAGGTGATAAACGTCTCAAAGCTGTCTTAATAAGGAATCCACGCAACGTTCGTCTAAGCTGAATGTGGTGTGGACCGAACATTTTGGGTTGGGCTTTAATTTCAGTACTTGGGCTTATAGCAATTTCTTGCATAGTGGGCTTTAACAAAAACACTCTAAATCGGCTTTCATATCATACATCTCAAAACTTGCGACCTTAAATAATTACTACTATTTGACCATTAGTCGGTGCAAGACTATAGTCAACAAATAAACAAACCTAATTTTAATGACAAAAAATATACAAGTAATAAAATATAACAATTAAAGGAAAAAAAATATTTTTGATAATGTTTTTTTACAAATAAAAATGTTTTATTGTTATTCATTAGTATCTAGCCTTCTGGTGACGTGATAAAAAGTATCAGAATAAGTGATCTTCCTTCTAGCCTTTTTTATTCTTCCAAGTCTTCGTGATTATTTATAAGCTCCCTTTCAAATCAAATCTACTAATTATTTTTACCAAATATTATAACTTAATTTATAGCTTTTCAGCCAATAAATAATAAATATTCCATGTTAACAATATATATCATTTTTCTGTCTCTTAATATAAAAGGTGACTGGCCAGCCACATGTAATTGATTACTCAGTCGAAAAGTTGTATGTTGAAAATGATTAGATAATAAGTCATAATAATTTTTAAAAAAATTACTAACTTTTCACATATTTGTTGATAACTAAATTATTTTTAATTCTCGTGGATTAATCAAAATGTCTTTTGTACACAAAAATGAAGATTAACATACAAATTAAATTCATAAGAAAAATTATAATTCTGGCAATTATTTTTCTTTTGCCTCTTAACGAATTTGTTTAATTGCTTATTACATGACTAGGTTTGATTTGGAAAAAACGTATACGTTGGAAGAAATAAAGGAGACAGACTGTCTCGGACGGTTTGTCTTTAAGAAATTTGGATGCAGCATCATTTTAATACTGAAATTTAAGAATAAAATAACAATATACAATTATCTCGGTATTTATATATAAAAAGAATTTAAAATATTAACATAGTGATAAGAACAACCAATATTAGAAAAGTGTATCATTGTCAATTTTAAACTTTCAGAAAATATTATGGTAAAGTGATTACAAATATAGTTCTTATGGCATTTTCAATAATTTTGTTGCTTTTATTTTGGATCCCACCGAGAAAAACCAGTCATGTTATTACTGTAAATAACTAATCGTTTGGATTGGGCTTTCCCTTCTTAATTACTTGGGCTTATAACAATTTGTATCCTAGTGGCGTTTAGAATCTCCTTTAGAGAGATACTCCCTCTATCACCACACACGGCTTTCTACACCTTCCCATTTTTTTTTAATTACAAACATATCATATTTTCTTTTATCCTTTACCTTTTTTAACTTTGTTTTTAAAACCCTAATTTTTTACTTTTTTATTCACTCAGTCGCACTCACTCTCACACTCTTACTTTCTCTCTTCCTCTCTTATTCTCATTTTTCTCTTTTCCCAATTTCTCATCTTTCTCTTTTCTCAATTTCCCATTTTTGTCAAGATTCTTTGTGAACATGTATTGTCTATGTGTTGGATGCTACTATGTGCCTCTGTTTTGTGTTAAATGAAGAAGAGAAATGCGAAAGACGGCAACGAATATGAGGTACCCATAGAACACTTAAACGGATCTCGAAATCCCTTCACGGATATCGACATCCATTTACCCTTCAATGGATGTCGATATTCGTCGACAAATTTTGAGATCCGTTTAAGTGTTCTATGTATACTCCATATCCGTTTAAGGGTACTGAATTTTGTATTCACATCTGGGAACCTTCTGCTTGGCACCACCACTTGACCACCTTCGACCACCATAATAGCACAATTAGAGGAAAGAATAAGCAAGATAAATTTGATTTTCGTGGAAGTGCTTGAGTGTGGGACTGCATTGATACAATGGGTGGATGTTGGTGAAGGTAAATATATTTTAACTATCACGAATTAAATATTTTACAAGGGCAAAAGAGGAATAGGAAGTGTAAGAAGTAATGTGTGGTAGTGAAGGAAATAACATTCATCACCTTATATCTTGCATTGTATCCTAGTGGGCTTTAGGACATTCAACGAGACATAATTAGTATTATTTTATCACTGGTTTGTGCAATACCCTAGTTAACAAATAAACAAACATTAATTTATTAGGAGAAAACATATGTAAAAGGATAAAAAAATATTACAATTTGAGGGAAAAATATTATACTTTTAATAGTGCCTATTTATAAATAAAAATATTTTAATATTATTGGTTAGTATTTACCATTTAGGTGACCGTGAGTAAAATTATTAGAATAGGTGGCTTTCTTTCTATCCATTTTAACTTATTTTCAGACTTTATGACTATTCATAAGGTACAATCAAAATAAATGTATTAATGAATTTTACCAAATAGTATTAGCTAATTAATTATTCTTAGGAAGAAGGTTAGAGGCAGAAAAAGGTTAGAGGCAGAGGAAGGTGAAGGAAGAAAAAGAAATCTTGAAGACTACTAATATAAATATGACGAGTTAATGTTAATTTGACAAAAATAATCAAATTAATTTTTCTTAATAAATATTAAGATTTAATTTAGTAAAAAAGATACATAGGAATTAAAGTGAATCATACCAAATTACTAGGTAAGCTTAAAATTTGTATTAAAATTTTATCTAAACAACCAAATGAAAATTATTCTAACCATAAGATGAATTATAATTTGTTATTTTTTTTCTTATACTCATATCTATATTCATATATACCATACATGGACATAGTGATATTAGTACAAAATAGAATTATAACATCTTATATTCAGTATTAGCACAAAAATAACCAACCTAAAAGATTATTAGTGGTTTTTTTTGTAAATAA